CTTGGACAGAGCCCCAAATCCTGGCCAGAACCTCAGTCAGTATAAATCAGCTACGCTGACTTCAGTGGAGCCACACCAGCTTACATGACGTGACTACCTGGCCTCAGACTGCCCCCCCAGACTGCGCCCCCGCCCTGCCTGAAAAGGTGGTGTTGGAGACAAGACTGCCCAAGAAAAATGCATGCTGCTAACTGGAGAGATTCCTGGTCAGGGGTGCCCATGCTCAACTAGGGGCTATGGACATTTCTCTATGCTGGACCTGGGACCACTGAAAAGCACATCTACCCCCTCACTCCTGCTCAGCACGGGCCAAGTCCAGGAAACAAGGCAGTTGTGTTACAGCTACTCTGAGTGTGTGCTGAGAAGTGTGCCCAAGATTGGGAGCCCAAGAGAGGTGCTGGGTCTACCACCTAATGCCTATACTTTGGTGCATGCCGAGGTGGAACAAGTGGGTGAGATGTGCTTCCCAGCAGTATGCTTTCAGCACAGAGACAGTGCAGACAAGTCCTGTGCTACCTGGGAACATGCTGTAGAGCAGCCATGGGATGGCAGCCAGACTGCACAGTACATAAACAGATGCAGATTTCCTGGAGAGGCAGATCAGAGAGAGTTCCCAGGGAACCCTGCACAATAGCTTGGATTGTAGAGAATTAGAGAAGTAGACTGAGTATGAGCCACTAGATGGTACCAAAGACCCATGGAGAGGGTCTGAGCTGGAGAAGAATCAGCTCTGAGACAGGAGATCAAGGATTAGAATAGATAGAGCACACAAAATAGAAGAGAGAACTGGGCAAGAAGTACATACATGTTTCTCTACCTTTTGCCTGTCCTCCAGTTAGGAGACAGCAGGGTACAGTATGCATGCCTGAGACAGACTACCATTTTTAGCAAACAGAAAACCATCTCTAGATGCTGATGGTCTTGCTGGTTCCTGTTTGTCTTGTGCATTTGGGACAGTGCAGCTCAGGAGACCTCTGCTTTTGTCCCTACCTGGCAGCCAGTCTGGGCTTTTGTTTGGTTTGGAACCTACATTTTGTCTCTTCTTCTCTGGGCACAGATCAGGTATCCATGCTCACTCCTTTTGACAAAGGAATGGCAATGAGCTACTTCTGGGACAGGCCTGACAGGAACTGAGATTATCTGCTGCTCAAACTTGTATTGGAGTTTGTACATCAAAGTTCAGTTCTATCATGCCCGTGTTTGCAGTTGCAGGTGAAGTATTATGGCAGCATCAGTACTCCTATTGACAATGCCCCTGTATGGTTATTGTCCACATGCTGCAACCAGAACAAGCAGGGCATAACAGCCAGGCATGGTTATGGCAGGAGCCTCAGGGAGTATGGACAGCCAGAGTGGTAGGAAGAGAAATAGCAAAATGGTATAAAAGCCAAGGACGGGTAAAGAATTGGAGGGGGAAGTAATCAATGGCACAAAAGCAGGTGAGAGAACAAGGCAGTTGAGGAGGCCCTAAGACATAGCCCAAGAAGAAGTATGGATGCCCCGGAAAATTCATCAATATGGTTCAACAGCGCCATGACAGCATAATGGCATGTGTTCTTGCGAATAGCAAATGCTCTGACTCCTTTCCAGTTACAAATGTGTCATGCAGGGTTGTGTGCTCACACCTACCCTCTTCAGCATGGTATTCTCTCATGGTATTCTCTGCCATGCTGTTGGATGGCTTCCAAGGCAATGACCTTGGTATGAAGATCAGGTACCATTTTGATTGAGACATCTTCAACCTATGAAGACTTTGGAGCTCCAAGTGAGCTCCAAAGTCCAGACAGCCACGCTTCACAACTTCCTCTTCGCTGATGACTGTGTGTTATCCGCAGGCTCACAGGCTGACGTGCAACGGTCCATGGATCTATTCCCATCAGCTTGCAACAACTTCAGACTCACTATTAACACGAAGAAGACTTAAGTGATGTTTCAACCTGTGCCTGGCACAACACCCCAGGAACCATATGCCTCAGGTAAAGGCCAACAACTGTCAATGGTTGACAAGTTTGTCTATCTAGGCAGCATGCTCTCCTGTGCTGTCCACATCGATGATGAAGTCAATGCGAGACTAGCAAAAGCTAGTGTGGCCTTCGGCAGACTCTATAAGTCGGTCTGGGACCACAGAGGCATCAGAATGTCGACAAAATTGAAGGTATACAAAGCCATCATTCTCCTGAGTCTCCTCTACGCCTGAGAAACCTGTACCGTCTACCAGCGTCATGTCAAGAAACTAAACCACTTCCACCTGTGCTGCCTGTGAAAGGTACTAAAGATCAAGTGGCAGGACAAGATTCCAGACACCGAGGTGCTCAGAAGATCAGCTTTCCCAGTGTTCACACTCTACTGAAACTGGCGGCCACCTCTCCAGAATGCCCAGCACTTGCCTGGTGGAGAAAATCTTCTACGATGAACTGTCAAATGGAGTATGCCATCCAGAACACAGCACTGGCCTTCAAACAGCAACGCAGGCAGAAGCAATGAGGAAATGCATGGCTAGGAGAATGAAAACCTGTCGTACCCAGTCCTCATCACTTTCCTGCCCCTGCTGCAGCAGATTGTTCAAGGCAAAGATCAGGCTTACAAGTCACCTACATACTCACGCAACCTAACCTCCGTTCCCCACCCCCTCCTTTCCCCTTCCTCTCTCTCTTTTCTCCGTTTTCCTTTTTTTTCCTTTTCTCTCTTCTCCCCCCACCCATCCCCCCCTCTGATGCGCTCGTCTTTGCCCTCAAAGGACAACAACACAAGACTTAGCCAGAAAAAAGCCAAAGGTTATTTTGACATGACCAGGTATCATCACTGTGAAGGAGGCAGACATCAGGAGGAGGAGGAGATGGCAATAGGACAGCAGCTGTAAAGAGTCCCTTCCAGGGGCTTATTGGAGGAGGTGCTGAACACCAGCACAGACCCCTGACCACTAGCTGGAGGCAGCCACTCACTACTACCTCTGGTGGTCGGAGCAGGAAATTCTCAAGCATTTTAATGGAAGCCCCTGGGAAGCCCTAGGCATGATCAGACTGTAAAAGCTTTCTAGAGTGGATTTGGTCCTTTACCTTCACCTTCCACAGGGTAATATTAATGTGTTGCCATGGTGAAAAGCTGCCTCAAAAATCTAGCAGCTTTAAATAAATCTCCCATTGAGCTACAACCCCCTCCATTATAGTGTGTTTTAATGGCCAGCCTAAAATAGAATATGTCTATATACATGATGGTTTGGGGTCAGCTTCAATTCTCTGTCAGACTCATGACACAGTTACTAGCTATTCATAGGGAGCAAGCCAGGAGTGACATTCTCAGAGAAGGCAACATTTCCTTTTGTTTAGCAGCTCTCCAGGCTAACCTGCGCATTCTTGTAAGAGCCCAGATATTCTGCAACTTTTAATTTGCCCCCAAATTTTCCAGGTTAATGTCTATAAGACTGACACAACAAAAGAGTCTGTTTGATTGACCTTGGTCAATTATGTATATGTTACTCCTGGCATTAAATAAAGGCCAATACAGGAAAACCTTCTTAAAATATTATGGGTCACATCATCCCCTTTCCTAAAATTGGGCACTTTTACACATACTCCAGGTGTGAGGGTAGGGGATGGTGCTTTAATTAAAGCAGCCCTGAGAGCCGCTGTAATTAAAGAGTGGCAGCATTTCATGTATCAGCATCCCTGCCCTTAAAAATGGTGACAGGGACACTGGAACTAAAGCTTGTTCGCTTGCTGCCATTTTTAACCGCAGGCACGCTGATACCCCAGATGCAGGAGGCTGCTGGAGCACAGTAATTACCATGGTCCAGCAAACTTGATTAATCAGCTGAGTCATGTTCAGCCTAATCGAGTCTGCTCTGACATGCTATAATTACAGTGTGTCGGAGCAGCCTCCCTGCTCATGTACAGGCACTGTCTGGACTAGGAGGTTTGCACCTGTCACTCCATCATGGCTTAGAACATGGGTGGGCAAAATGCGGCCCGCGGGCCAGATGCAGCCCACCATGCCAGTCTATCTGGCCCATGGGACCCTTAAAAAATTTAGAAAATTAATATTTATCTGTCCCTGGCTGCCTGTCATGCGGCCCTCGATGGCTTGCCAAAACTCAGTAAGCAGCCCTCCGCCCAAAATAATCGCTTGTCCCTGGCTTAAAACTTGCTTTCCCAATGGAAGAACTGAGTGGGTGGGTACAACTGAGCCCCACAGCCCTTTGCCATCTTGAGAGCTGCACAGACTTTAAACTATGCACAGAAGTCTGTGGCTTCTGCCCCACTTCCAGGTACTGCCTTCCTCTGTAACAGCCTGGCTACCATAGGCAACTTGCTAGCTTTGAGGGGACAGGGCTGAAGGGCAGAAGCTCTTAACTGGTTCCCTGTACATCCAAACCATTCAATTTTATCTCTGCCTCCTTCCAGGACTTTATAGGTAGTGCTGGTCCCATGTTACCCCTCCTCTTCCAACAGTGCATAATCTATCAGTACTCTAATCTGCTGATCCCCTGTGAGGACTGATGTAAGCAAGGAGGCCTTAGCAAAATGCCCAGGAAAAAGCCAACCTGCTTAATGGGTTTTTTGCATCAGTTTTTCACCAATCCCAAGGGACAGCCCTGCTCAATATGGTATGGGACGGTCAGGGTGAGGGAGAATTGTTACCCTTCATCAATGTAGACCATATGAAGGAACACCTTAAGAGGCTGGACACCTTCAAGTCAGCTGGCCCAGACAGATTACACCCAAGGGTACTTAAGGTGCTGGGAGGCATCATAGCTCAGCCACTGGCACGGATCTACAAAAACTCGTGGCCCTCAGGTGAAGTGCCCAAAGATTGGAAGAAGGCCAATGTGGTGCCTATCTTCAAGAAAGGGAGGAAAGTAGATCCGGGGAACTACAGGCCCATCAGCCAGACCTCTATCCTGGGGAAGATCTTGGAAACAATTATCAAAGGGACCATTCTTGACAAACTGGCTGATGGCAACATCCTGAAGGATAGCGAGCATGGGTTTGCTGCAGGTAGGTCTTGCCTGACCAATCTCATCTCCTTCTGTGACCAGGCAACATATTTTACCTGGACAAGGGAGAAGAGATTGATGTCATATATCTTGATTTAAAAGAAGCCTTCGATCTGGTGTCCCATGACACCAGATCGAAGGGCTGGACTTGATGATCTTCCGAGGTCCCTCCCAGCCCTGATGTCTATGAAATGATTATCTCATGGAAAAATTGGCCAACCACGGCCTCGGCTATATCACAGTCCAATGGCTGGGGAATTGGCTCTGAGGTCGGACTCAGAGAGTGGTAGTCGACAGAAGTAAATCATTGTGGTGCGCCATGACCAGTGGGGTCCCCGAAGGCTCCGTCCTTGGGCCTATACTCTTTAACATCTTTATTAATGATGTGGACATTGGTGTCAGAAGTGGACTGGCCAAGTTCGCCAAAGACACCAAACTTTGGGGTAAAGCGTCCACGCCTGAGGACAGGATGGATGATGATCCAGGCCAACCTAGATAGGCTCATAAAATGGGCAGATGAAAACCTGATGGTGTTCAACACCGAAAAATGTAAGGTACTCCACCTTGAGAAAAAAACCCCACAGCACGCTTATAGGCTCAGCAGTGCTACGGTTGCTAGCACCACAGCTGAATGGGACTTGGAGGTCATGATTGACCACAAGATGAATATGAGCCACCAATGCGATGTTGCAGCTGGTAAAGTGAGCAAAACTCTGACTTGTATCCATAGATGTTTCTCAAGCAAATTCCAGGATGTCATCCTCCCGCTTTACTAGGCCTTGGTGAGGCCACAGCTGGAGTACTGCATCCAGTTCTGGGCTCCACAATTTAAAAAGGATGTGGAGAAGCTTGACAGAGTCCAGAGGAGAGCCATGCGCATGATCAGAGGGCAGGAGAACAGGCCTTATGATGAGAGGCTGACAACCATGGGACTCTTCAGCCTGGAAAAGTGCAGGCTCTGGGGGGGACTTGATGATCTTCCGAGGTCCCTTCCAGCCCTAATGTCTATGAATCTATGAAAACACCTTCAGAAAAGGGGTGGAGAAAGCACCTTGTAGGCAGAAGCTGTACCTAGATCCAAAGAGGCTGAAATAAACACAGATCATGTTACCAGTCACGTTGATGGTCACTTGGCAGCTGGCATGGCCAAACTCGTTGGAGGCAACACACTGGTAGGTCCCCGAAAAGGCCAGCGAGAGGTTGGTCAGCATCAGCGTCCCTGTTTTTTCATCTTTTAAGGAGGAAAACAACAAAATAATCCTTAGGGTCCTGACAGATATGCAGCTCCCTACTGTAACTCATGGTGCTCTACAGGAAGCACCACGAGTTACAGTGACCACCTCAACCTAACAGCTATTCTCTGTTGAGCCTGGTGGGGTGGGTTAAATCAAATTCCACTTTGGAGCCAGCTGGATGACTGCAGCCTCTCTCCCTGAGCCCCACCCTGTCCCCCCAGCTCCGGTGCTTCAGGATGGGGCTTGGGGCCCAGCCTTGCTCCCAGGCAGGCTCCCTTCCCACTTTGGGGCATCTTCATTTGGACCCTTATGTTATCAGGGTTCATTTTTCATATGGTTGGGCACTTTGAAAGCACTCTGTAGCTATGGACTTGTCAGGACATGGCTGTTGAACACTTTCAGGGGGCTGATTATGTGACAAATATCACTTCTGTTAGCACCCTTGTAATGCCAGAGAAAGTTCCCTTTCCTGTTGTGCAATCAGGTGGTGTGGGCTCAGTTGGGCCTCTGAGCAGGGTGGTCATGCCAGCAGCTTACTCTATAGAGAAGGGATCTGTAAGCCCTGGGTTGTGTAAAAGAGGGCAAAAGTTGCAACAGGAGGAACCATGGCTATGGACACTCTAATTCCCCTCCCCCTGGGCAGATGTCCCTGTCACAGATACCAGAGGAAAACTCCAACTCCTGTGAGCAAGCAGCAAGCTACTCCCTTCACTACAGCTGGCCAGTGGAAGGAGACATGGTCACATGTGCTAGCCTGAGAGAAAGCCTGTTGGAGAAAGAGACTTGGTCTAAACATCAGCCTAAATAAGGCATGTGCTTTCAGGCCTCAGGGCTCAATGTTCTGGCATAAGGCTGCAAAGGCTGGAAAGGAATTAGCCCTTAGCATCAATAATTTTCTCTTCAGTCATGAAGCTTGTTACCAGTGAGAAAGAGGCTAAATACTGACGCTAATATTCTGTTTTGGTTAAAGCACTTCAGGTCTGTTGAGTATCCAGACAGAGAACATAAGAGCAGAAGCAATGCCCACAGGCATTTTGGCATGGACTTGATGAGGTGAGTTCTAGTAGGCTAATCACACTGTGGCTGTTGCAGAGGTAGGTCCAAATGTCCCTGATGACCTTGTCCAGAGATGAACACAAGCCTTCAAGAAAATTCAGAGCCAATATGACCCCAAATGGTCTGTCAGATAGGACATGTCTACATGCCTATGGCAATATAGCAACTAGATGCATCTACACATGACCAGCAGCTACTTCACTGTAGCAGTGTGCTCCCTCAGTGCAGCACGCTACCACAGCAAGGTAGCTGCTAAAGATAACCGTGCACCCAGTGTACAGTGCAGTATGGGCTGTTACTGTACCATGCTCTAGTACTTCCAAAAGGTAGTACTAAAGCATGGCGCAGTAGCAATGTCGCCATATGGGCACTTTTCCACTTTTTAAATGCCATTGTAATTTCATTTGCCAGCAATAGGCTCTGCTTGTAGATCAGTTCCAGGGTAACCTTATTTATTTAAGCATCTGTTCATGCCTTGGTAGAGGAAGATGAGGAGTTGCTATGAAGTTTCAGAGCAGTCATTCTGTCCTTTGCTAAAATATCTTCCATGTAGTAAGAACTGGACTAGCTGAGAACTGAAACTTCATAGCAACTCCTCATCTTCCTCTATCAAGGCATGAACAGATGCTTAAATAAATAAGGTTGCCCTGGAACTGATCTACAGGCAGAGTCTATTGCAGGCAAATGAAATTACAATGGCATTTAAAAAGTGGAAATATATTTATACGAGTTAGGGCTGAAAGTCATTCAGTAACATTTCCAAGGCAATAGCCTTGCCCTCCCACTCTCTCAACCCCAGAGATGAGACCTGGATTTTGGGCATGCTCAAAAGAAACATCTTGGGATGCTCTAAGGCAACCTCAGCACCTCAAGTGTGGTACTGCAGGCACTGCTAGGATGTCCCCACTGCCTCCTGTCCAGTGTTGACTGATGGGCAGGAGCGGATGGGTATGGCTTATTTCCCTAGCAGCATGACTGAGGATTCTGCTGCTGTGGTGCAGACTTACCCTCAGGGTCTGATCCTGAAAACCTGCCCATAATAACCAACACCGTTCCTCGTGCCAATACTTTAATTACAAGAAATCCCTTGTATTTTCTGGAATTATGTAAGATGAAATGTGCTTTCCTGCAGTATGGCATTTAGCTCTTAGATGTCTTTGCATGCTGTATAGCATTCTAGATAGTCTGTTGTTCCTGGTAAATAAGACAAAATGAAAATCAAACTATGTAGATACCTCTTTGTGTCTGTAGCTGGCTGCTATTTCCTTAATAAATACCTTCTGATTAACAGCACCTGTAACTTCATATCTTGTGATACCCATGAGAAACAGTTGGTGGGACTAGAATCTGATGTTTTTCCTTAATTTCTGAAATGTTCCTTTTGCTCTGGAGAGTTTTATGGGAGTTATAGGGACTTAAGCCAGACAGCATTTGGCCCCAGGAACCTGTGTAATTCACACCAGTGGAGGAGAGTGAATTTAGCTGTGTGTTTTATGATGGCCTAGTTATTCCCAGTGTTGATCTTCTGGAGTTAGCCAGGATAAGGTGGGGAGGGGAAGGAGATCATCTGCATGTTTCAGATGTAAACTTATCGTTCCCAACCCTAAGAAGCTCTGTACACTTGGCTGGGTATTTTTTTTTACCCTTCTCTCTAGCATCAGGCTTATATCTCAGCTGAAGCCAGAATTCTGGGTTGACCCAATCCAGCCTGGTAGGTTTGTGTTTGTGCCTCTAAAAGATAAAGGGTCTTTAATGAGTGCCACTCGCCACATACCTTGTACCATGTTGGCCAGTGGCAATGGTGTCTTGGAACCAGTGTGTGACCAGGCATAAACTGGAGTGGGTATACCCTCGGCAGAGTTGCAGGTCAGAGTGGCATCAGCCCCAACAGAAGCATATTCAGTCCCTTTACAAACAGGGGTAGAGGGAGGCACTGTAGGGGAATCGGGAGAGAAAATGAGATTGATGCAGTAGGAGACTATATAGGTAAAACTACACATGTGGCTGGGCCCCTGGCATAGCCATCACTGGAAAGCTTTGCAGTCACTTTGCCATCCCACTACTGACACTTTCTTTATCCCTGTGTTCAGCCATGTTACCTCTACTTGTTCTTCCACTCACAATATGCTTCACCCCTTCTCTGCCATCTGCTTAGGCCTTTATGTGACTCTTGGCACACTACCTCAAAGCACCACACAAATGTGAATGATTTGGGAAAGCTCAAGAGATATCCCAGCCAGACACCATCCTCTCCTGCTCCTCCCACTTCAGATCCTTCTGCATGGTGAAGTCTTGCCTATCATACCACAGGGGAGGGGATGCCCTAGGGGCATAATGGCAGGGGTGGGGGCTGGGATGGAGAGGGAGAGCCATGCTTTCACATGCCTCCTTTTGTTTGCTCCCCATACTTCAGTACCTTTCTGCTCCTGTGCCTTGCCCAGCCTCTGTGCTAGAATGAGGCTGGGAGGGGGTACCCACTAATGGGGCAATAAGCAGTGAGAGTGTTTCCTTTGGGCTCCAGCAGAAATTTTGAGGACTCAAAAGTGACAGGAGCAGATCAAAATGTCACTGTCTCCCAGCCCTAACAAGCATGAACTTTCAGGGATCAGCCTCACAGGACCTCCTCAGGACCTCTGAGAGGATTCCCTTTTAGTGGTAGCTCCCTGACAAGCAAGGTTGGACCCTTAGTAGCATTCATTGACTTACTCAGCACTGTGAAGTGTATGAGCCCTGAGCCACTGCCACAGAAGTCTGGGGGGTTGTTCACCTCACAGATGTACGTGCCAGCATCTGAAGGATGAACGTTGTCTAGTCTAATGGTTGCATCCCCCGTGGTGGGAGGGTTCTGAACGAGACTCAGCCGGCTGGCCTGAGAGCCAAGCGTGTACGGCATGTTATTTGTGAAGTAGAGAATCTGCAGAAATGAGACAGTTTGTTTGGGGAAGCTTTAGAAATCTGGGGTGAACACAGCAATACGCAATGAGGGAAGGGCTAAGAGCTAACTTGCCATCCAGCAGCATTTGTGTTGAATTAATCTCAAAGCACACAGCTTGGGAGAATTAAGGTGAAAGCTGCAAGGACACACAATGACTAGGTGAAAGGCACACTAGAGAGAATGCAAAAGGGGATAAGGATAAACTAGGAGGGAAATGACATCAAAGGAGAGGCTGATCCAGCAGAGAGAGAGCCCTCTGTTTATAGGGTGCTCAGACCAGCCCAGTACCACACAGAGCAACTTTTGCATTGCTTTAAAAAAGCCCTTATAGAATTTTACACACGGACAAAGAAAGAAAATAGTGAGGCATGAGACATAGAGCAGGACAGTGCACATGAACAGGACCAAGAACTCATCCACAATGTACAATCTTCCAGTGGACCATCCCATCCATCCCATTTCTATGTGCAATGTACACACTGGAACATAAGGGCAAGGGCATAAGACCTCCTCAGACACAGATCTGGGACTCTTCCTTCCAACCAATGCCACACTCGCTTACCAGATCTAACCTGAGAATGAGTATGGATTATAAAGTTACTGTCTGTATAAGGGGATTCATATATTATAAAGGGAAGCTAAGGACTTATTTGGGTGGCTAACAAAAATTTCCAGCCTTACTGGTAGAAGTTGGCACCTGGCCAGAGCTCAGTGCTTGCTGTAATCTGCCTTGGAGTCTGTGGTCTACCTCTCACACTACCAACTGTCTGCCTGGGCTTGATGTACTACCAAGTTCACAACAGTCCCTGGGGCCCAGTCACAAAGCAGATACTTAGAGTGTTGCTTCTCCAGCCCAGGGCTTGGTGTGGTATTTCACAATCACAGACTTTAAGGGATGAAAGAAGCATGGATCCTGCCTATCACAACAGAGCTTCAACCTACTGTTCCTGTAACCAGCTATTGCAGAAAGGTGTCTTGATTTGAAGAATGGAAACTCCATCATGTCTCCTGGCATTATGTACTGATGATTAATCATCCACTCTGATGAATGCTGCATACTACATCTTGCTGTCCTGGGGGTTGGGGGTGTTAATGTTAATCACTCAGCAGCTTCAAGCATTGGGTCAGATCAAAGGCCACAGGGACATGAACAAGCAAACCTCTTTCACCTGGTCTGTTCAGAGACAACCAGCCAGACAAGAACAAACAGGCCAAGGCCAAATCTGCAATCCAGGGTCCTCAGCTGGCCCCAAAAGATCTTCCCCGTTAGCCATTTATTTGCTGCAGTAGGCAGGCAGCTGACACATCCATCCTGACCTTCCCAATTTGCCAGACCAGTCACACCATGAGAAAATTGGGGCTGCAAGGGACCTCAGGAGGTCATCTAGTACAACCCCTGCTCAAAGCAGGACCATCCCCAACTATCTCAATCCAGCCAAGGCTTTATCTAGGCAGGTCTTAAAAACTTCTGAAGATGGAGAGTCCACAGCCTCTCTAGGTAACCTGTTCCAGTGTTTTACTACCCTCCTAGTGAGAAAGTTTTCCTAGTATCTAAAGTAAACTTCCCTTGTTGCAACTTAAGACCATTGCTTCTTGTTCTGTCATCTTCCACCACTGAGAACAGTCCAGCTCCATCCTTTTTTGAACCCCGCTTCAGGTAGTTGGAGGCTGCTATTAAATCCCCTGTCAGTCTTCTCTTCTCTAGACTAAATAAGCCCAGTTCCCTCAGCCTCTCCTCAGAAATCGTGTGTCCCAGCCCCCTAACCATTTGCATTGCCCTCCACTGGACTTTCTCCACTTTGTCCACATCCTTTCTGTAGTGGGGGGCCCAAAACTGGACACAGTACTCCAGATGTGGCCTCACCAGTGCTGAATAGAAGGGAATAATCACTTCCCTTGTTCTGCTGGCAATTGTCCTACCAGTGCAGCCCAGTATGCTGCTAGCCTTCTTGGCAACAAAGGCACACTTGGCTCATATTCAGCTTATTGTCCAGGTCCTTTTCTGCAGGAAATTGGACCCTAGTTTGTACTGGTACATGGGATTGTTCTGCCCTAAGTGCAAGATTCTGCACTTGTCCTTATTAAATCTCATGAGATTTCTTTTAGGCTAATCCTCCAATTTGTCTAGGTCTCTTTGAATCCTAATCCTACCCTCCAGCATAACCCTATTCCCCTAACCCTATTCCCCCCAGCTTGGTATCATCTGCAGACTTGCTGAGGGTGTACTTTATGCCATTTTCCAGGTCATTGATGAAAATATTGAACAAAACTGGCCCCAGGACTGACCCCTGGGACACTCCACTTTATACCAGCTGCCAACTAGCCATCAAGTCACTGACTACCTCTGAGCCTGATGCTCCACCCAGTTTTCTATCCACCTTACAGTCCATTCATCCAGCCCGTACTTCCTTAGCTTGCCTGCAAGAATGTTGTGGGAGACTGTATCAAAAGCCTTGTGTGTGGGGGGGGTGTGAATGTGTGGGTGGGTGGTTGGCATGCATGAGAGGAGATAAGAAAATGAGGAGAGAGATATTAGTACTGTTGTTTAACACAAAACTACAAAGACTGCAGTATTGAGCATGGTATAAGTATGTGTATAGAGCAGAATAAAATAAAACTGTTGTATGAAAGGCCACAGGGGGTGATCACTAGTTTGATCCATTATGAGAATTCCTGTGATTCATAGTTGCCTTCTTTGTCACATTAAGCATTTCATAGGCATTGATGGATTTGTGACCACAGAATCTCTGACAGCTTGGGAAGTGTCTTCCCCGATATGCAGGTGGGAAAATGAGTCACGGAGAGGAACGGACTTGCCAAAGGTGACATGGGAAGCCTGTGGCAGAAGCAGGTATGGAACCTAGATAGCATAAACTTCAGCTGAAGGCTTTAATCATAAAACTGTCCTTCACCTCCATGGATCCCACTGGCTGTTTTCATTAGGTTTCTGAGATAACAGTGCCATCATGCAGGCAACTCAGCACCAGCCAAGCAACTGTCATTCTTACTGCATTATTGCATCTACCTCTGACCCCCTGCCTTCCCTAGACTCCTTGGCCAATCCTGATTCCAGCCCTACAAGGGGGTGACTAATTTCACTGATAGCAATGCTAGCGCAGGGACAAGTCACTCAGACCCAAGGACCTCTTCATGCTGGCAGCATCCCCAAGACTCAGTCAAATTAGAGCCAAGCAAAAACCCTACCATTATTTCCATTAGAACATTTTAACCATATTGACTTGGCTCAAGGAAAGTTTTGGGAACAAAACAAAGATTTTCATTTCAGTGCAAAGTCCTTTTTTAATTGGAAAAATTGGAAACTTCATTTAAACCAAACTGTTTTCAGAATTGGTTAAAAAATATTGACTAGTGCTAATGAAAAGGTCCCCCTGGCTTGTTCCTGTTGTCCTATAATGTTACAGGCAAACCAGCAGTTCAGCGGGGAGCTATAAACTTCACTAACCTCTTTCATCATCTCTTTCCCACCCTGGCACAGTTTTGAATTCCCCCCATCTGGCTTGTCCTGGGCTGGAAGAAGGAATACTTTAGAGACAACCTCTGGAGCAACCCTCATGTCCCAAGGCTCCAGCCCCTGTCCCCTGTCCCTCACCTGTTTCCCCATCTCTGGTGCTGTTGAGATTGGTGCAAACCTCCACTCCAGTATGAAGTTCTTGTTGACTGAAGTTTTATAGTGACAGGGAAGTTCCACGCTGGAGCCTTGCTCCTGCATCACTTGGTTTGTTGGTACTGTCACCTCCACGCATGGCCCAGAATCTGTTCAGGAGAAAAAATGGTTCCATCATGTCTAGCATGTCACTGCACATCTGCTGCAGACTCCTCTCCAGCTTCCACGGCTGCAGCCTCCTGCCCCCACACTCTTT